GAAACGTCGTAAGTTCCCGCGGCTCGTTTCACGGCGCTAACTAATTTGATTTATATCTCCCTCCACTTCTCCTCGCCGTGCCCATCCAGCGGCGGAAACAACAACAAAACAGAAAGCAATAATTTAACTCGCCGCCTTTGGCGCGCTCGCATTCAATTCTGCCATCCGGCAAACAGGGCGGCCGATTTTAACCCGGCGCGCGCGAGAGGAAATATTTTCCAACACTGAATAGCGACGGATCGGGATTTTATTGGATGATTTTTCTTCGCTTCGCACTTCGATACGTTCGTCACGATTAAAAAAAATGACGCCGTGTCGTCTACTTTTTTTTTTTTTTTCGTTTAATGTCATTAAGCAGGCTCCCGCTTTGTAGTCTTGTTCTCCCGGTTTCGGTCTTGTTGATTTACTGCAGCGAGTGGCAGCACGTACTCTTGATTATAGAAAAAAAAAAAAAAAAAAAAAAAAAAAAAAAAAAAAAAAAAACAAAAAAAAAAAAAAAAAAAAAAAAAAAAAAAAAAAAAAAAAAAAAAAAAAAAAAAAAAAAAAAAAAAAAAACAAAAAAAAAAAAAAAAAAAAAAAAAAAAAAACAAAAAAAAAAAAAAAAAAAAAAAAAAAAAAAAAAAAAAAAACATTTGGACAAGTGCGATCCGTTATCTTGGTTGTCTACTGGGAGAAGCGCCTCAGCAATACTTTCACGCAGGAGCAATATATATTCAAATCGCCCTAAGCCATATACAGTCTTAACAATGCTCGAATTCGCACTTATAATTCTGCATGTTACGAAGTCAATAAAAGTAGAATACATAGGCAGTTTACATACACAGTTAATACATAAGTACATAGGCAGTTAATACATAAGTAGTAATACATAGGCAGTTTGGTGCCGAGTTCGACATCAAAGAGATGCAATTTAATTTACGTAGACTTCCGCAAAGACATGGTTTATTTTTGGCTCACAACTTTCCTCTAAGATCTCTAAAACATGAGTTACGCAGCTTTTACATTATTTTCAGCCATTTTAACTTGTATCGCAGAATTAAAACTGGATAAGTTACAGAAATAAGGCACAAAGGTTTGTTTTATCTAATTATGGCAAAACACGCAAGGGCTATCTGCCTTAGGACAGCGATGCCTTCGTGGAGGACTTTCTAAGGCTGGTATGCATGTTACACATGGGGAAAACTATGGAAGAGCCCATGCATCCAGCTCGTTCACCTGAAATCCAAACACAGTTCGAACTAGTGTTCAGCGAGTTTACCGTTCAGCCACTGGTGGGCTCCAAAGCGCACAAGGGCTATCTGCCAAAGGGAAGGAATTGAACAATTTACTGAGTTAAATTTGCTCGTATTCACGTTACAATGAGGAAAATCACAGTAAACCAACTACGAAGCCCGTTCGCCACGGATCGAGTTCCCAATATTAAGCGATCTCGGCGATTGGTGGAGCCAGAGCTAAGACAGAGTTCTGGCTAGTTAATATAAAAGCCCACACATGTTAAGCAACTAATAATGGATTATAATAATGTCAGAAACAGTATACACGGGGAGATACAACTAACCCCCCCTGTCCCCCCCAAAAAAAGTAGTTGAGAAATGTGTTACCTGTTGGGGAGTTCTCAAGTATTTATTGCCATTTTATTTACTTCTGTATACTCATACATATGCTACTCTGCGAACTAAAATGAGGGAAATGCATCAGCTAATGCAGGATATGTATTTCAAAAAGCAGTCAGACTCAATTCTACAATTCGTTTTCAAAGAACATAAGCCAGAGCAACCTTTTTCTTCATACATGAACTCATCACTCAAAGTTTATATGCACGGAAGGATCTTTTAGAAGCAGGCGGATGGTGCAATTTTTAGACCAAAGATCCAAGATTTCCTCAGAAATCAATTATAACCTAACTCATCATCATTCACTCCTTGTTTAATTCAAAAGGTATAAGATGAATTATCGCGACCACAATACGATCTTGAGTGATTTCTCCGTCGTAGCCAATCTGGCTACTGAAAATTCGCGTACTAGTTTCGTTTTTATTAATGCCTATTTGAAATAAATCCACTTTATGAAATATAATCTAGAACAGCATTTATTTAGTAGTCCAACCTGAAAATTAAGCACCTTTTAAGAGCGCAAAAGAGACGCTGAAGATATTCGAACACTCAAAACACAAGATGTTGGACGGTTATTGTCTGATATGCAACTGGAAACAAATGCCAGTGACAATTTGTACCGGTTTAATAGAAAGCCATACATTTGGTCACTCGCCTGCCAAATTCTTGAAATTGCAAATAGTGTGTATGCTCACAGATGTTGCATAAAGTCACGCAGGAGAGGCATTTGGCTGGAAAGAACAGAAAAATACCCAATTTCCTTTTATGTACCATCTTTCCCAGTTAACAATTTTTCCCTTCCTCGAATGACTGATGTACCCTATAAAAATGCACCCAAAAAAGTAACAGCTTGCAGGCGAGGGTATAATTGCCCGGCGTGGAAACAACTGGGCTAGTTTCGTGTGTTCGTGTTGGAAGGTGCGCCTTTTAAAAAGGGACGCTCTGGTACGGGTGGCGTGCGTGAGGTTGTGCACGCGGCAGCCCTAAGCATTGATTTCCGATCGGCTGTACCGCACTCTCTTCTCTTGCGGTGGGAGGGGCTTAGCTTTAGCCCCCAAACGCTTCTCTCGTTTCCAGATCTTCCCTTTTCTATTGAAAATATTCTTTTCCCCATTACTACTCCGGATAGAAATAAGTGCCTGAAGCTTATCCACAGAGTTGCATAAACTACGCTTGTATAAACTTCTCGGACGAATAAGTTGCACACAGACAAACTGGAATCGTATTAAATGCAAGGTTGGAAACTGTGGCTGCTTCGGAAGTCCAACACATGCCAGAAAGTTTCCAAAAACTACGCGATTCCAAGCACCGGCGATGTCAAACAAATGTTACAGTTCATAGTAACAATCTTAAACATCTTCAGCAACCTTCAGTTCGGAAATGTCTAGTGGGCAATTAAAAGCTTTGTCCTCTTGCGCATTTCTCGCATCTTCGTCCACTAACACACGATGACTGTGTTACCTACTCTCCGATCCCACGCTGCTATACGATTCCTTTTGTTGTAACATTACTCCTCGTAGAGGTCTGTGCACGCTTAAGCTGAATTACATGCATACCTCAGAATTCACATGCCTCGTGTCTTGCATTTTTAATAGGATTATTCTTTGCGTCAGCATAAAAAGAATGATGCTGTATTAGAAACGTCATGTCCATCCATAAATCAAAACTAATCCAGCTGTCTGTTGAAAAGAAGAATGTGTAAACTTCCAAGAATATGAAATTTTTGTAAATAAATATTCAGTTCAGTCAAAAAGGAAACTTAATAACCACGCAAATGAATGATGTGAATTTCAGAAATATTTTTCAAAATAACATGAGAAGATGATCATCAGAGACATACATCGTTTTTGTCCGAGACAATGTGTTTCAAATCCTGGAACTGGAATTCTCCAATAACCATTCAAAGAAGTAAACAATTTTAACAAGATGCTTTCTTAAAATTAGAATAAGAAGAGAGAATGGGATTAAGCGACAGCATATTTCAAATTTCATATAAAACTCAACCGAAAAGAACTTTTTTCAGGGCTAATAAAATATAAGCACTGAAACAGCTCCAGAATTTAATAACAGTACCATTGGATATTTCAATACTGGGAAGTAAATTAGAGTACACACACGTGGACAATCTCATCAACGAAAGAAAAGAATTAAATAAAAAAATTATTTCAGCAGCTTATACTACATATGGAAGAGCAAAACGGGTTCCTTCTTTTGGCTCTGAAGAACTGTCTGACACAATTCCAGAGCATGAAACGAAACCAAAGTTTAGATCTGTCTATTTCGGACCATTTAGTCGCGAAATATGAGACCGAACATCATAACTGGAATTTCCAAGAAATGGAACGTTACATCTAACTGCAACCCATCCTCTTCGGAACTCCGAATTTAATGGAGCCCCACGCGTCCCCTACGCCCTCTCCAACTTTTACTCTTCCCCCTTTTGCCTATCTGTCCAAAGAGCTAGGTCATTGATTTCCGATCGGAACTTCGCCCTCACGCACACCCACGCCTCCTTTCAGAGCGCCCGGATTCATCCGGAAAAATCCATTCCTCAGGTTTCTTTTGTCTTCCTCGTCTCCCGTGCTTCGATATTTATTTTTCTCTGCATTTCTCCCCCCCTCCCGCCCCAACTTTTTTTTTATGTTCCTCACAAGAAGGTTTTGTTTGGGGAGTTCCAATCAGCTAAGACTCTCTGCTTATCGGCGGAACTATTGTTGCCAAACCGAGATGATTAAAAATGCTGGGGGAATTTTTGTTTAGGCTCTAAGCTTTAAAGGATTCTTAAGTTCCGATTTTTGCTCGCGGTGTTTCTTTGCTTTGTTTTCAATTCGAGGTTTTACAAAGTTTATTATTTGTTTTGCCCTCAGTTTCTAACAATTATTTTAATTTCCAGCGAAGCTTTTGAAACTGAAATTCAGGCGCAAAGAAGGCGGAGGGAAAATCGTAACATAAGTGACTATTGTTTGCCTTTATTTAAAGTTTACTCACTAATAAGTGCAAAGCAAGACATTTTTGGATGCCATCGGTTACGCATCTGTAACGTTCTTACCAATATTTACTCGCAGGGAATGTTATCGGTTTCGTATCGTAAAACTCTATGAATCATGAAATCAAAATATCCAAAAACATAAGCCAAAAAAAAAAAAAAAAACTACAAAATTACTACAATTACTAACGAAAATTTCTACAAGGAAATAAGAAAGCAGAGAGATTTGAAAGAACCTTTTACACAGCTCTACAATTATGCACAAAAAACAGCTATTTCAACACTTATAACGAAATAGTCGCTTATAATTTTGCATTTTCAGTTCTCATCTCTATGAGAATCCTAATATACATGTATACAATAAATTTACATTAACAAGAACAATTTTACTTTATTCTTACCTGAAAAGAATATCTTGGGAGAGGTGAGTTGAAGTCCAAGGAAAGTAGCCTTTTCTTATTAATTGTATTTTCTTCAGAACTTGGAATTCCATTTGACCTCTTCTTGGATGACACTTTAGGAGCGACGGGAGAAGAGTGACTGTTGTCAGTTTTGAGAATATCAGCTTTTTCCTTGAAAGAAGACATGGTAGTTATGACATTGCTCGGAGCTGCTGGCAGTCCGCTATGATTGGCAGTGGACATATTTTCGCGATTTCCGTTGGCCAAATGCAGTTGATGTCCAAGATGAAAATAGTCCAGCCCAAATAGAGGTAACCCATTTGTTGGTGTAATAACGCTCGTTGCAGCGATCGGAACAGACGCCGGAGGAATAGTGGCTAAGGGTTCCAAACCAGGAGCAGAACGTATGAGCAAAGACTGCAGAACATTTGCTGTATCGGCATAATCGGGTTCACGTTGACCACTAGATGGGCAATTTGACTGCTGCGTCTTTGTCGGACGGTGCGCACTTGTGACTACTGCCGTTGATGATGTTGTCAAAGAAGTGGTAGTCACCGGTTGTGGTAAGGGAGCTATTGTAACATTGGGATTGGCAGGAGGTATCCATCCATTGTGACTCTGAAGGTTTATCTGGTGCTGTGCAGGACGATAGTGACTAGCATAATGGTGTGGGGTACTCGATGTTAAATGATGAGTAGGAATATGTGGTATGGGTTTAGGAAGGGATACAGCAGCCGTTTGAGGTTCTTCATTGGCGAAACCTTGGGGCAGTCCATTGAATTTCGAAATCGATTGAGACGATTTCTTTGGCGATTTGGATGATAATAATCTGCTACTGGGAGCCTCTGAAATAGGTTTTTCGGTCTGATGCTTGAAAGACGGAATAAGTATTGAGTTATTCGGATACATCGAATTAGTCCTAAGAGTGGATGAGCTTTCAGTAGACACATACGGAGACTTAACAACAGCCGAGGCTGATGAAATATCTGTTGTACTAGATACTGCAATGAGCGGTGGGGGACCTTGAGGACTGGGCACAGATGTAGGCGGTTCTAATACATGATCAGAAGAAGCCTGATGTTCTGAAGGTCGCACTGCTTCAAGGAGCGGTGGCATTTTGGTTATGGGTATTGTACCTCCTTCACATTTTGTCGATACAAGAGGAGTAACAGAAGTTACAGTAGTTATAGCGTCAGTAGTATTAATATTAAAACTATTAGTATTACATTTATTTGGAATGACAATAGGATTTTTGTGAAAGACGAAAGGATTCACATCTGCATTGTCTCGCTGATAATATCGAGTGGAAAAGTCTTCATTGACAGGCACAGTAATTTTCTCTGGGTTATCACGATGAGCTTTCCTTGCAGCATCGTGCTTGGACGATGAAGTATTCACTTTCGGTTGATCAAATTTTGGAGTTTCAAAAGACACCGAATTATTATTTTGGCTGTCCTTCAAGATATCTTTAATGCTACCAGATGACCTGTGCTCTTTAGAGTGATGCGACGAAGAGTCTCTGTTAGAAGGTTCTTTCTTTTTTGGTACAGTAAAGGCTGTTTTCCCACCAGTCGAAACTGATGGTAGACCTGCATTCCATATTGCGGAATTTCTGAAATTTGTGTTTTGTTTTTCTCGTGAGGAGCTTACTGTAGTAGGCTCCGTAGTCGTTTGCGTAGTGCACAGACTTGAAACTGACAACCTTATTTCACTACTGCTGGGGGCCGAAGTTGTGGAAGGCGCAGTGGTCGTAGCCGTAGGACGGTGAAGGAACGTTAGACCAGGCTGAACAAAATCGCACACTTTTCCCGTAGCTGCTGAAGCTGGTTCCTTCGTGGCACAGCCCATTGGACTACGGGCGCAGAGAGCAGCTTGAGATGGCGTCTGGACACAGCATGCGCATGGCACTGAGGTTTGCCCTAATCCAGCTAGGGCACTTGAAGTGCAACAGGCATTGCTACATTTTCCTGTTGCTTGATGCTGTTGTAAATGCTGCTCCCTTAGTCGCTGAAAATGTTCCGCATATCGAGCAGCTTCCAGAACAGGAGCAACAGTTGTTCCGTTTAAAAAGTTTTTTTCGGCAGCGGCTGCACCGGCTGCATTTCGTAGGGATGTAAATGCTCCTTTATCATCTGTATACAGAGAAAAAGCGGGAAGCATCATGGGAGCAGGAAGAGTTGGAGCATAAAGCCCCCTAGTCGCTGCCAGGGCCGCAGCAGCTTCGCGTTGGGTTAATCCGTTTCGTAAATGAAGAGGAATATTCGTTGGATCCATATAGGCTGCTGCGGCAGCTGCTACGGCAGCTTGCTGCTGAGCTACTGCAGAGTTGCGAGCAGCATATAGAGCTTGCTGGTGTTGCTGTTCCAGACAGCGCTCCCTTTGTTGTAAGAAATTAGTCATCATTTGGTGTCCAGCAAGAGAAGTGGGTACAGCTACGCCAGTCGTCCGGTCGTAACAGAAAGGGGGTGCAAGTCCAGGTATCACAGCGGCAGCGGCAGCATCAGCGCCGTATCCCAAACGAAAGAGGGTGGGATCTATCAACTGCCGCCCCATCGCCGACAAGGAATGAGAAGCGGCCAGATTGGCCAGTTTCCGATGGTCCAACATCAGTAAGTCGTCGGCATCCGCACCACCAGCGGCGGTTTCAGATGATGGACGAATGGTCTTGACTGACAGGTCCAACGGATTTTCTCGGCCGACAGGAACTTCCAATGGATTTGTTCGTGGATCAAATGGTCTCACAGATGTAAAAAGAGGAGGGTAGTACATGGTGGACTTGAGGGTGAAAACACGCTTTTATCCACGCATGTCTTCATCGATTCTTTCTAGAAAGAAAAAAAAAAAAAAAGTCACTTACTACATGACTTACAATTAAATAATATTTTAAACAGACAAATATACGCAACCTAAATTAAAATTATTATTGCTTTAAATGACGCGATAAGAAAATACTATGTTCAATATTTATACTTATATGAAGATAACATGCTAATATTTTTTTGCTCACTGAAGTTAACGTTTATTAAAATGAGGAATGAAGTTGGCCAAATATAACCTTAACAGGGTAAAAAATATTCTTTTATTCCTTTCAGCGTAGATTAAATTAATATTCTTCGGTTAAAGGCTACAGCCCAACCATTTGATGGTCACATAGAAATATCCAATCGTTAACGTGCAGTTCCAATTTCATTCCGAGATTAGACTGTTTCCACAATTAAGTGGCCGCCGGACGATGGTCAAGTGCCTGCCAATGGCAAAAATAAAATAGCAACCCGATGTTTAAGGTAATTAAGTACTAGACATGTGAACTCTGGTAAACGTATCAGTGTATTTTGTATTTTTGATGAGAAAAGCTTGCAGAAGTAAAGCAGGAAAAAAAAAAAAAAAAAAAAAAAAAAAAAAAAAAAAAAAAAAAAAAAAAAAAAAAAAAAAAAAAGAAGATGGCAAACAAATGAGAAATGTTATTCGAGGACGAGAGTGACATAATTTGACAGAAGAAAAGATGAATAAAAATCGTAAGCACTTGAATGATAAATCAGCAAGTGTTTTCGTTTTCCTTCATCTCCTCAACGAAAAGAAAACTGAATAAAAATCTGAAAGGTTTCAGATTTTAACAATCGCCCAAACGGATGTGTTAAGTTTTTTATACTCTCTCGGTGAGCTCGTATTGTAACAGTTTGCTGTTTCACTCACTCCTACTAACTTCCCCCCCTTTCTATAGCTTTATTATTAAGAACCATTTTCTTCGCACTAGCGCCATAGCAATTCAATAGCAAAATTACAAAAATTGTAAAAACAGCATAGAAGTATATATTTAGAATTCCCTATGCAGCATTAAGTGTTGCTTACATTTTCTGTTCCCCTCCCCCAGTCTTTTCTCAGTTCATCATATTAGTGTTCAGTTTTCTTATTAAGCTGGCTTTGCAAAACTATTTTTTGTCGTTTCATTGTTAAAGTTTAGTGTGTTGACTTCATCTATTAAATATCACGCTCTTACACCACATGATATTCGATTCAACGGCAAAATCACAAAATATTTAAAAACGCCACACTTTAGAATTTCCGACAGACAGTCTCGAGAGCTGGAGGGGGGGGAATCCCCCCGTACATTGTTGCCATTGCTCGCTTTGAATTCGTTGAGTTTTTTTTAATCCAAAATTCGTTAAAGTTTTACAAAATATGAAAAAGGTAATAAAACAAATCCAAAATTCAAAATTTGTGTTTCCAGGTGCCCACATTCGCGTGGAGGACTACGTTATTCAAAAGTCGATGGCCCTAGGTACCGTTGTTTTCCCACAATGCGAGAAACATGCATGCAGATTCTTCGTTATTCAATTTCCTTAAGTGTAACACAGGACGATAATATTCGACGACAACAAGCTGAAAAGTGAATCGACGCAAAATGCCATTTCGCGACTAACAGCTCTCCCGGGCTAAAAAGCAAAAAGCTTAAGCAATTCAATTTTGTTTATTACTGTCTCAGAATTTCCTAGTATGCTGTCGGCAGCATTTAACAACCACAACCGACGACGTTCGCAGCATTTTTGAATAAATGATGCCACCTGCGAACCGCAAAGAAAGATTAACCGCCTGCAGCTGATACTGAACGCCAGACCTGCGGCGGGTGACCCACACACCAAGGGCGGAACGAAATAATCAAGGCGTGGCCGACATTCACACCCCCCATATCGCTTTCGAGACGTCTCCAGCCTTCGTAATTCAGGTCTTTGCGGAAAGCACAGCATTTTAAACAACACCGACCCTAAAACTGTGACCGCAAGCACGAGGATTTTGATCGCAACATCGAAGGGTCACAAATTACATTCGATTGTTACTGGTAACCTCAAAAAGAAGGTATAACTCAAAGAGGGAGATGGCATTATTCTGACAACAACTACGTGCACGAAACGTATGCAAGAACAATTAGGTTACTCCCGACTTAAGGCCACAGCATGCGTCGAATATGTGATTAGGATTTGTACCGAGAAATTAAGTAGAAGATTCTACATACGAAAAGAGCTTGAATTAAGTATCAAGCTTGGAAAATATATCTGTTGTTTGTGAAAGCAGAGTTTAAAAATTAAAACTGCGAACACATTTTATGGAACTCAAACATTCAGAGATAAAGAGATGTAATACATCCAATACCACGAAAGGGACAAGATAAGCCAATACGTTGAAAAAGAAATCTTTTTCCAGAAGCAAAGCGTGGTTTAAATCTGTAACTATAGCAACAGAAGAAATAGCCAGTAGAAAGTGGAAATTCGTCTTCAGGCATGATAAAGAAATGCAACAAGCGTTCGCCCTTTTTCGTTCGCTATTGCAATATCCATAATAATTCCTCGAGATTGCCTAAGATGTCGCTTTCACCAAGATATACGAATAAAACCTCTATGAAAAAAAGAGAAAATTGGTGGGGGGGGCACAATAACCTACAAAAATAACAGCATTTTCATTTGAGATGAAGCATTTTTATGGTCAGAGGCATGCTAACATTTTCTTCAAAAATAAAAGAGAAGTAAATCCTAGTCTAAGTATCTGGTTTGGTTCATTGAGATAACGGCCAAGCACACTTGGGCTATCTGCCTATGGTGAGGGATGCCTTCGTGGAGGACTTCCTAAGGGACACTTGCTCGTATACACATTACACATGGGGCAAACACTAAAACGCCCATTGAGGCAGCTCGTTCGCTTGGAATCGAACCCACGCCCCAGTTCTGAATTTGCACCATTAAAAAGAAAAGAAAACATATTTCCATTACCCATAGCAGCTGCATTTCTGGTTTGTATGATTTACCGTTTACAAATATGGGGAGATTATTTACTGGAAATGTTTGATTCGAAACTGAATTTACCTCAAAACTGAAATTTACTTAACCCCTTCCGGTACGAACCCCCCTCCCGGTTTTTTATTTTTAATGCATAAATAAAAAAATATTTAAATATTGAATTTTGGAACAATATTGAAAGAACTTTTCACACCATTTAACTGAAGTTAATTCTTCACACCAACCATAAATAAATCTTAGACACTTCATGAAACTCAACACTCGGCGACTTTATCGCTTGCGCCGGCAAAATGGAAATTTGCGCCGGCCAAACGGAAAAGTACCGTTTTTCCTTTACAGAAATATATATTGACCGATGCTTACACTAAATTTTTACAAGAATGAAATCTTACAGACTAACAACAATTCGGCCGTGACTTGTACCAAGAAATTCTAACGATAAACAAGATGTGATAGGATCTGTGATATCTCCACAAGTAAAAAAGGTGTTGCCAAATTCAGTACACTAGAAATTTTAAACTAAATGAATTATCATATTCAACAGTATGCATGACGAGAGTAGCTCGTCATTGTGCGATATGGCATGAAAAACCAATGACGAGTGTAGCTCGTCATTTTACCGGAAGGGGTTAAGAAAAGGTTTAAATTATTACTGCAATTTTATTTTGCAGTCATACGTTTTTAACATCTAATCAAGCTACCTAATTTCTCTTAAATCTCTTCAATAAACCTTATTTCTTTTTTCGAAAGAGATTATATATATCAGAAGTTAGCGTCCTGCTATTTATTCGGAAATGAGTGCTGCTAGAAAAGAAGCATCTGGGATAGTAAGAGTTTTGTTTCCAGGTGTTAAGTAATAACATTAACTAAAGAGTAAAATACTGGTTCTGAGAATAATAATAATAATAATACTGATTCTCAGAATAATATAACAGATTAAATTACGTCTAAAGGGGCGTTTTTTTTTAACATTTTGTGAGTTACCTTTACTTATTACATATCATGTTCTTCGCACTGAAACCATAAAATTCAGCTCAAGAGCAATATCGCAAAATAATTTAAAAATGAACATATCTTTAGAATTTCCGATATGCAGTCTCGCGCGCTTGAGATAAAAATATTTTTTCTGTACAACGTTGCCATTGCATGCTTTGAAATCCTTGAGTTTGTTAAATCCAAAATTCGTTAAAGTTTTACAAAATATGAAATCGATAATAAAACAAATTCCAAATTTTAAATTTGGACTTCCAGATGCCTATATTTACAGTAGGATAACGTCATTCAAAATTGGTTGGCTCTAGGTACCGTTGTTCTATCACGATGCGAGAAACATACATACATTGATGTAGATTCTTCATTATTTAATTTCTTTAAATATAATACAGGGCGATAACATTGGGTGGCAGCAATTTGAAACATGAAACAACGCTTGTAGTGAATCAACGCAAAACGCCAAAACGAAATTAATAGTCCTTCTGGGCAAATTACTCCTTTGGACTAAAAAGCAACTACTGAACATCAGTACCTGAATTGAAGTTTTCCATTTATAGCGTGAATACGATGTACTGTTACTGTGATCTTCAATAAAGCGGTCCGATTTCACAAACACATCCTACAGAATCCTGAATTGCGAAATTAATGGCGGAAGAGGCTTTTAACTGAATACTTTCATTCTTCTTTACGTCGACTGCATAGCCCGCAGAAAAAATAATTGATATGATATCCATTCCGATTAAACGATTCTCATTCATTTTCTTAAAATCCTAAACGAATCTACGATAAAGAATCTACAGTAGCGGCTGCAGTATACAGGATCATCTCTACTGACTCAAGCAACCTCCATCTAGGGATTAAAAAAAAATCAACTTTTAATGTACTGTGCCTAGAATTGACAAACTAAGGGCTTGGCAAACTACTCGCTTTCAGTCGCCGGCATACGGCTGTCACCGAAACCCAAAAAAGAAATTATCGTAAATGATTTTCTTTCGTACCTGCATTAGGCAAAGGGGGGGGATGTCCGCCCTCCCCACTTGTCC